AGTGAGGTGTCTAATTGGGGCCGGTTGCAGGTTCTGGCTTGGCCAGGCTGATGGGCATGTTTCAGTCGCACAGGGCGCTGAAACCGGACACGCTGAGCCACAACTCTGTTGCGCGGGCGCTGGGCGACCGATGGCGCCGGACGCTGCCCGGAGGCCCAGGCCTCTGAATGAGGCTTGATCATGCTGAACCGATTGGTCACGCCGTAGGCTTGTTCCCACGAAGCCTGCACATCGCAAAAAGTATGCGTTGGGTTGAGCATGCCGGGATGCACTAAAGGCCAGTGACTCAGGTGACATGCCTGTTCTGCCTGGGCTTCAAAAGAACAAGCGCAAGCTGCCTCTGAGTGCGTCCAAGGAGGCGCCTTCCAAATGTGGTTTCTGGTTGAACCCCACCCCGTCTCGCATTTCCTGCAAGGGTCCGTGGTTTGAACGGGGGATTTCTCTTAGATTACCTATCAATGATCAGCAATCGTCGATACGCTGCCCCTCTTTGCTTTGACTCGCTTGGAGCAAGGCGCCAGAAGCAAGTAGCTGCTTGCCGAGCATGCCAGCAACCTCGTTGGGGGCGATCCCTGGAATTCCATATGTGCTTCCATGTTCCTTTGCGGAGAAGACTTGCATTGACTAGAACGGTTTTGGGGGACACCCAGCCCCCCCTCCCATCAAGGCAGGAGGGATGGTCCTTCAGCCCAGGTCTTTGCTGGCAGCGCCGTGTGCGCCAGCGGCCTAGACGGCGAGAGTGTGGCTCAGTTGATTCTCTCCATTTCGCGAAACAATTGGGCAAGCCAAGGGGGGTCCTTTGGCTGAACTGCTACTTGCCGTTTATTGGGTTGGATATGTTGTTGGCTTGCTTGCAACATGAACGCGTAGAGAGTCTGAGTTTTGCTGAGCCTCGCCTTCTCTGAGTGATTGAAGCGCAGTTGGGGCTATAGCCTCGGAGGTAGCTGTGGAAGAAGAAGTGTGGAATCTACAAGAACAGTGTGAGCGATAGCCACAGAGAGATGAGAGTGTCTACAATGCACCACCTTTCAAAGTTCTTCTCATTTGCTTTGCGCCGCCTTCTCCCAGCGCCTTCACATCGCCGGGGGTGTCTCTTTGTGGTCCCGGTTTGTTGTATGTATGTTTACCGTTTTTGTTTCTGTTGTTGCTGTTGCTTTGCGCTACCCTTTTCTTGCTGTAGTTTCTTTGCAGCTTTCTAGTCGTCTGTCTTCTTTCAGCTCACCTTTTTTTCTGTTTCTTGATACTTTTGGGTTCAAGACGTTTTCCGGGCACCCGTTCGGTGGTGACCTGTTCTCAAGTTTGCCCCCCCCCCCCTTCCCCGTTCGGTCCGCCGGCAGGCCCACGAGCGTGGCCACCTACGAGCCGGTGGCCGCGGTCTTGGAGAGGGCCGGCGAGCTCCGTGCGGCGCCAAGTTGGAGAGACGCCGACGCCCTCGCGTCAGACCTTTGAGGCCCTCGTTCCTGTGGGTTGAAACCCCCCCAAAAATGGTCACTGGATTTCTTCTCCGCTTCAACCTTATTAATTTACCGGTGGTTTCCATTGAAGAAAGCCACGACCCCTTTTTGTTTGGTTCCTGTAGGCAACAGGGAGCGAAACGGCAAACCGTGTTTCTTTTTTTGGGTGGGGACGAGAAGGCGGGGGTAGGGACGAGAAGGCGGAACTCACTAAACTTCAGCCACAAAAACTGGACGGAACCCATTCTTTGCATGCTCTCTTGGGTGAACACGCGACGGGACCCCTGAGATTCCTTCCGTTGCTTTTGAACCCTGGGATTGGAAGCGCTCGAACGAGTTTTGGGGTTCCACCCCCTTGGCCGCTCGAGGCCCGCTGGCCGCAGCGCTGCCACGCGCGCAAGCCTTGGCCGTGGTGGTTCTTGCAGAGCTGTGAGTCGCGGTCAGCCAGGCGGTTGGGGTGAAGGGTGTGGTGGGATGCGGCACCGTCCAGTTTGGCCATCTGGTGTTTGGGTTTCGGGCCTGTGGGTGACCGCAAGTCTGAGCTCGCGGTTGGCTGGGTTCGCACAGGTTTGGAGAGCCCAAGAAGCGAGTGGTGCTGAATAGTGGTTCTGCTCCAAGCCTTGTTCGGACTGTGTTGATGGTGTCAGCCTTTCAGCGACTCATTCCTGTTGGCATGAGATGTTTTGGTGTTTGGGCTGTGCGTCATATTCAGCTGGACCGCAGACAACCGGTTTTTGCCGGCTTTCCTCTTCTTCTTTTTTTGCGTTGGGCATCTCCATTTGCTCGGTCGCCTCCAGGTCTTGATCCTGAACATCGACATGGCATATAATGGGTGCCTTGGCTCAGGAGCAGGGTTGTGGAATCAAGGGGGTTTATTCCCACTTCTGTGATACAAGGGTGTTAGTCTTTGGGAAGCCCTTTTCGTTGTATCACAGAAGTGGTCATTTCCCACAACCCTGCTCAGGAGATCTGGCTCATTGAGGGTTGCTGTCAGTCTCTCCCAGCTACAGGGCGTAAGGATGTTGCATTGGGTATCATCCGCAGACGCGTCGTGCCAGAAACCGCGCTGTTGAGATTGCCAGGTGCCAAAAAACAACATGGACCCCCAAAGATTTTAAGGGGACACTCCGTTTTTGAGGACCCTGTTTGGAGTTCCATGCAAATTTGCAGAGTAATTCATGGCCTGTCGTCAAAGCCTTCCTTTTGCATTTGAGGTCGTTGGGTGCCTCCTGTGAAGCGCAAGTCGGAGCGTGGCTGTGGCTTGCAGCCCCCGCCCCGGGCAACTGGGGCAACTTACACTGGCCAACAGCCAGGAATTCTCACCCCTGGAGCAGGAGGATGTGCCGCCGCATGCCCAGGCGCACCTTGCACAACAGGAATTGGGGCGGGGTGAGGGCAAGCCCAGAAATTCAAGCGACGCCTGGAATTTGATTGTACACAAGGCTTTTTTCAGTTGTCTTATATGGACACTTATTTCTGCAGAGAGTCCTGGAAGTAGTTCCGCCTACCTGACAGTATTTTCCTATAGAAATCGCCCAGCCGTACTTGCTGTCCTTCCTTCCTTCCTTCCTTCCTTCCTTCCTTCCTTCCTTCCTTCCTTCCTTCCTTCCCTTCCTTCCTTCCTTCCTTCCTTCCTTCCTTCCTTCCTTCCTTCCTTCCTTCCTTCCTTCCTTCCTTCCTTCCTTCCTTCCTTCCTTCCTTCCTTCCCCTCTTCCCCTCTTCCCCTCTTCCTCTCCTTCTATTCTCTCTTTCGCTCTTTGTTGTTTTGTTTCTTTCTTTGTTTCCATTCTCTTTAGTTCTCACGACCTGTCCAGGCCGCCTTGGAAGTTCGTGGCCTCGCTCGGCTGCGCCCGCTGATTTGGTCACGGAGCTGCTCAGGCCTCACACGTTGGCGAAACATGATGCAGGTATCTGTAGTGTTTGGGAAGGAAAGCGAGAAAAAAAGAGAGAGACTAGACATAGGTGTCTATACTATACGTGCATATACATATATACACACATATATATGTATATACACACTTTTTTCCATATGGATATATACTAAAGAAAGAAGAACAAACTGGCATTGCCTTGCCAAGAACAACCCTGCTCAAACCACCGAAACTGATTTGGAGCCATATTTCAATGAAGTAGCTGGCTTTTGAAGGTCTGCTTTCAGGTCAGGGGGAAGGAGACATAGCCATTTTTAACCTGGGGATCTCTTAGTTAAGGTGCTGGAAGTATTGAACAAACTACTGCAGACAAATAGCTCTCTGTGTAGCGGTTGGATTCCTGTCTTCCAACGAGGCTTGAACCCCTGGTTAATGAACATGTATTGCCCGTGGTTGCGAAACTTTGGACTCTTTTTTGAGTCCATTTGTTGTGTGAGCCAGGAAACATCCTTGAAGCAGAGTTGTTGTTCAGCACCCGCTGAACATGGTGAATCCCAATACAGGGCTGCCTTTCTCCACTGGCAACGCGGAACGATCAAACCCACGCCCTTGGAATTGCCTGGCACTTCCCTTGCCTTAGGCTGGCCGCTCTGGCCCCCCCGAAGCCAGGCAGATGAAGCTTTAGCCGAAAGCAGCGGGAGGAAAAAGCGAATCTGCGCGCCCGGGTTTTGATCTGGAATGCCTTTCATGTGAGGTTCCTTTGGGTTGTGTTTGTTGGCATGGCTCCCCAACAGAGCCCAACACGGGGAGGCTCCCGCAGACCTCAAGGAAGCTACGGATGTTTGGCTAGTCCCCGGCCGACATTGTGTTGCTTGCCTGGGGACGCACAACAATTCGGCATTTCGGCAGACCCGGAGCCCAGTTTTGGTTTGAGACAAGCCACTATCCGAGTTTCTTTTCGCTCGGGTCATGTTGAAAGATATAGGAGAACTGCCAAGCCGCAGTTCAGGGAGCTAACGGCATTGGCCTTCCCACTTGCTTGCAACATACCCAGTCATTTGCCTGACGGCCGGATTGACAGGTTGGCCTACCTAAACTCAAAGGGGTCTCTTCCAAAATGATCCAAAAATAAGATGAGCACATAAGCTTGATCTGGGTGCGTGCTGGGTGTGTGGTTCTCTTTAAAGGATGTCCTTTTCAGGCTGGGCCAAAGGGAAACCGAAAGCACAGCCACTTGTGGGCCCTCGGCAGCGCGCAGGCTCAAGGCTTTGAATTGGACGCCTCAGCTTCATTGGCGCGCGGGTCGAACTGGGCCAAGGAACCCGAGTTCTGAACCCAGAGAAGCACGAAAGGCCAGGTCTTTGAACAGAACGATGGCTGAAAAATAAAGGGGAATAGAAGGATGGTTCCAAAGAGCGATGGTTGAAAAGGAACGCTGGTTGGGCACTTGGGTTTGAAAGTAAAGGGATATAAAAGGGAATAAGCCGCAAGTGCCACCTTTCGGAGTGCCCATTTGTCCCGCATAGCCATTTGGGTTGAGAAAAGGGCACCTCGCACCTCTCCGCGAAACAAGTAGGACTATCCCTCTTGAGCTTGCCGGCCAACGATGCTCACGTCACATCAGCACCAAGCGGACCCCCCCAAAAGTGGTGGTCTTGAAAAGACACACCGTGTGTGTTTTGTGTTTCTTGGCTCCGGAGTGCGAACATCGGTAAGAGCCTGCGGGCGTGATGGAGACGGAGTCCAGCGCGGCTCGGAAGCGAATGGCCGGAGAGGGCGGGTCACAAGTTCATGGCGAAGGCTCACCTTTTGTTGGAGTTTCTCACGCTCGTATGATTGTAAGTAAGTCATCGCCCTGAGAACAAACCTTCTATTTCCGGGTATAGTTGGGGCAATGATTTGATGTCCACTTTCCGAAGTGCTGGCAGTATGCATTTGAACATAAGATTACCTGAGCATGAGGTTGCCAGACTATTCCGTGGCAGTTCTACGTGGGTGGGCTGGCAATTGCAACCACGAAGCCAGCAACAGCTGCTCTTTCTCCACCTTCAACCACCAGTATCTCGATAGTTGATTCCCACAATTTTGCTTCCTCAACTTGTTTAGTGGCTGTTTCCACGTCGTTTCCAGAACCAAGGACGGGGAGGACGGCGTCGCGAGCTGCTCTTGGGCAAAGGTGGCACTCTTGGAAGAGGACAGCGACTGGGAGAGTTCCTCCGAACGGATTTGGAGGTTTGTCTCACATCCCGCAAAATTGCGTGTCGGCTAAGGGTAGCCAAGAAGGGCCTGGACGTGGCAAGCCAGTTTTTGTTCCTCTTCTTTTTTTTTCCCTTGTCGAGGCGTCGCATTTGGGGGCCACTTTTGGCCATTTGGCGAGCGTCGAGGGTCCCCAGCTTTGCAAGTTTTGCGGATCTGTTGAGCGAGTAAACATGTCAGGCCTCCTGGACCGGACATTGGGATTCTGAGCTGATGGAATTTTGCGCGGTCATTCTGGCAAGCTTACTACTGTAGTGGGACACCCCTGTGACATCCAGCACTTGTAAGATACTTTGGTTTCCTACTACAGTTGTTTACTTGGAGGCAATAGGAAGTCCACCTTTCGCGTTCGGGTGCTTGGGTTTCAAGTGAGCTCCGGGTTCCTGAGATATTTTCCATGTTGTTTGTCTTTGGCTCTGGTAGTTTCAATCATTTCTTATTCTTCGGGTATTTCGCTTGCGTTTCGCGAGCATGTCCTTTCTTCATTTGAGGTTTCGTGAAGCTCAGGGAGGACGGGGAGAAGATCGCAAGTCTGGACACTCGTCACCGTCGCGGCAGCATGTACGACCTTGAAAGTGAGGTCTTCCAGACCCTCTGGAGGTCTGGAAAACAAGGGCACTCACTGATTTTGCTTGAAGTTTTCGTGGAGCTCGGGCTCCCTATGAATAAAAATGGGATGATTTGCTGGATTGGCAGGGGTGTGGACGTGGACAGGGAATTTCACAGTTCGAAGTTGCCGCTCGCGGCCACTAGGGGCCTGACCGGAACTGCTAGGGTTTGGAGCTGCTAAGCTCACCTTTGCTCGGCTGCAGGCTTTCGACTCCTGCCCCCTTTAGGTCGATCTCTACATTTTTCGTTTGGCTGGATGCCAGGGCTTTGGGCTTCTACGATTTGCAAGGTTGAACGGGGTTAGAGACTGACTGGGATGGTTAGAGGCTTAGGTTGCAAGGGGTAGGTGAGTTTTGTTTTCAAGGACTTGGGTGACAGAAAGGAGGTGCAAATGTGGAAAACCAGATCCTGAGGATGTGGTGTGTCACCACGAGCACCTCTTTCTTCAGGCCGGGGGCAGAAATCGGCCCCTTTACCGGGCCAAGGAGGTGTTGCCGCTGGCCTACGTTCTGTCCCTTAAACGCAGGGTCCCTTAAAGGATACATCTCAGCCGAGTTAAAAACCATTGTTTGCCAGAGATTCCTTGTATACCAGGTTGGTTTTGAAAGTTTCCTTTAAGGTTTAAGGAGCTCTGTAAAAGCTGTGGTTGCCTTACAACCATGGCTTTAAGCTATTTTTCTAAGTGCGTGCTCATCCAAGTAGGTGTTCTTAGTGGCTTCCCACATTAAGGGGATGTTCCGTGGCATAGTCAGAACTATGCAGCTCTCGCAAAACGTGGAGTACTTCCTTCCAGTTTCCCTTGAAATTACCCTCCACCAGGCGTGTTCTCCGATGCGTTTGACCCCGCACCGTGTTCTTCGCAGCATCCCAAAGGGTGTCCTTCCTCTTTTGGGCCGACACGCCATCCAAACGGGGCACCCTCCAACCGGGATCGTTTGCTTTGTCGAACTCCCCAACTAGCCTTTCCTGAGTGTGGGCATCCATCCAAAAGGTTTTCTTTCCAAGATTTGGAATCCCCTTGCCCTTTTTACTGTTGCCCAAAAGGGATTCCGACCCCTCCCAGCGTTCTGTGGGGAGCTCCGTGCACGTCCAGACCAACCGCAAGCGGACCCGTGACGCCGATGACTCCGACTCGGCGCCGCGGCTGGCGCTGGCCTTCTCGGGGGGCGGGGTGCGCAGCGCCTTCGTGGCCGCGGGGGTGCTGTGGCGCCTGGCGGAAGTTGGGCGGCTCAAGGACCGAAAACCCGCTGGGAGTGGCCCCCAAATGGCGATGGGGTCGTGAGTCGTAATTAACCTAGGGCGAGCCATTTTTTTTGGGGCGGAGGAAGGTTTTATGTGCCACCTATTTTGATGCTCACCAGGGGTTTCCTGATTCTTGACCCACAGCCACATGGCAGGTTTAGGGGTAGATGTTCTGATCCAAGGGGTCAAGGCCCAAGTCAAAAGCCGCCAAGCATCCTTGGATCTGTCAGATCTCGGAATGAAACAGTCTCAACTTGGGATCCGAGTTTGAGCCACCCCTTTGCAGCGACAAAGTAGTTGATTTGGCTGCGCGCCCTGAGGCTTCGAATCTGTTGGAAGTGGACTGGGGAGTCTGTTGTTCATAGACCAGTTTTTGAGTAACCGGGGCACAACGGGGATTTCCTACTCTCAGATTCAGGGGCCTGAGATGTTTGGAATAGAGGCCGGGCGGAAGCCGTATATGCCATATGGTTGCAGCATTTCAGCTAAACTTCGGTAGCAGGTCTTTCCCACCTGTATCCTCACTGATGAACATGGAATCTGATTCACATGGAATCAACGTCTTGTTTCGGAAGCAGTTCGGGTGACTTTGCATCCAATCAGACCCTGAGCAACGCTCTGTTTCTTTGAGTCGCCGCTTTCGGTGCCGTTGGCTCTTGCTTACTTTTTGGAAGCCACTCGCCCCGCCCCCCCCCAGAAGAACATATTCCCCCTTCTTCCACTCTGGCTAACCCTTCAGGATGAGCAAGCCAGCAACTGGGTGCTCAACAGCATTCAATAGCCCCTAACTTAACTTTCAGTTTTCCCAACTGCATGCCGAAAGGGGATGGCTATGTTTTTCCAATTTTTCTCCAGGCCCCCCCCCGCCCAATGCAACACCCGGGACAGGACGTGGACTACATCTCGGGCGTCTCCGGAGGGACCTACGCCGCCACCGCCTTCGCCTCCCACGTGCTGGCGGAGACGTCGTCGCTGGGCGCGGGGCCGCCGGCGCTGGACGACTTCTACCGCCGGGCGGTGGCCAAGATGGCGCCTGGCCGGGGCGGGGCTCGGGGATCAGTGCCGAGCGCGGGTTCGGCTGGTGTGTTCAACTATGGTAAGGGGACTAACCCCAGCTACAACAGGTATAAGTAAATCCTTTCTCCCTAAGTAACCTCCCCAAGAACACCATGCGTGTATTATTAGGGTCCTCTGGTTTTGGCCAGGACTCTTTCGGACTGCGTGGTTTAGTATTTGGAAAGGGGGACTCTTTGATTTGCAAAAAGTGTGCAGAATGCAAGAACTACTGAAAGGAAGACCCGGATAAGTAAACCTCTTACGGAAGGCATCCCTTTGGTTTGAGAGAGCAAGGGCTCGGAATACAACTTTTGAGTAGGACCTTATGAAGGGAACCCAATGGAGACCCTAACCGCTCCGATTTATTATTGCTAGGGTGGCCCCTAATAAGCGCATGTGGGAAGCTTGGCTTCGTTCCTTTTGTATATTGGCAATATTTGTGGTCTGGAGGGGTCTTTATTCTCAGGGGTACGTTTACTAATGGGATGAGGTGATTATAAGTATGACCGTGAACTACTTACCAAGCTGGTTGCGGATTCAAGGGGAGGAGTATTTTTGGGTTCGTGATGTAGGGGCACGGGCCGGTCCATTGGCATCGGCTTGGCTTTCTTCTTTGTAGCCTGTTGCTGTTGGCTTCTAGTCCGGAATGTCAGGGCCCCAGTTCACAAGCATGTGGGCCCAATTTCGCGCAAATTTGACCCACTGTGAGATGTCTGAGTTATTTCTCAAAGCTAGGTTGACTGGACAAGGTACCATTCTCTAGATTGATCTGGTGATCATGTCCCCAGGCCTCCAGAAGGGTGGGGTTCCCTTCAAAATCAAACGGCCGAAAAACGGGCGGCATATTTGCCTTGGTCCGGAAGTTGGCGATTTCTCAGGCAATCACCCCAAAGGTTGACGCAGCGAATCCTGTGCTTAGGTGGACCGCATGCAGCACAACACCCCATACCTGAGCCGGGATTTGGGGCAGGACGCGTTTGGCGTCTCTTTTCTTGGGTTGCTCTTTGGTTCGGCCTTACTGCCATGCAGATTCACCTGGAACATGTGGGGAATGTGTTGGGGACCCCGTTTGCGGGTTGCATGTCATGAGTTTGCAGGAGTGTGCGTGTTTTGACCTTTGGAAAACACGTTTCTTTCCCACTGATAAGCACAAGGCTTGACTTTTTGTGAGGCTGAGAGACTCATATGTTAAGGTACGAGGGTTCGGCTTTTGCAACGGTTGAGGTAGTCGTGCGCTGATGTCAGTAGCCTGTAGCGGGCAGGAGGGCTGAATACACAGGGGCCATGTGAAGGATACTTACCAGCTGCACAGGATGAAGCTTGCTTTCGCCCGGGCTTATTCTTCTGTTGCTGAAGTACTCTGTTTCACCCCGAGGTATGGTTTTCAGTATGTGATTTTGCTACATTCCCCATGGTTGTTGAAGTGCTATATTGCGATGTTTCACCCAGATGCATTGGTGTTCCTTATTTGCCCATGGGTTCCTTGTGGACGTGGCGACCCGCTCGATCCAGGAGGTGCCGCCTGAGACGCAGCGTGGCTCGGGCTTCCTCCCTCGCTTCTGACGCTTGGATGGATGGATACCAGTCAATGTGTCCGTTTTTTGTTTTTGTTTTTGTTTTGGGGGGGGAGCGTGCAAAACATGAAGCAAGTAGACGCACACTGACACATACCGTAACTTCTATTCCCTTTTGGATCAACCTTCGCAGTGACACGCATATTTCACGCAATTTCTTCTTGCATGGTCCGTTCTGAGCAACCCTTTCGGAAAGCAAAGGCGACATCCCGCAGCTGGTGGTGCTGGTCTTGGCCACGGTTTTGCGCGCGCCCTGTGCGCTGGCGTGCCTGCTGGTTTTGCCCACCGTGGAAGTCATCGAGCTGCCCGGCTCTGCAGAGCCGGGCACGAAGTTGTCTCAGAGATGTTCCGAAGGAAAGCAAACCTGGGGTCACCTTGTGGGGAATCTGCCCTTTATGTTGTATCAATCATGGTCAAGTGATTGTTGTATGTAGAGGAAACATGATGTTGCCTGGCATTCCTCCAATATTTGCCCTGCAAGCCGCATCCCAGCTGCGTGCCCTGGAGCTTCAGGGCTGCAAAATGTCCCCAGCCACAGGACGAAGATGTTTTGCCGCTCAATTGTCACACCTGCCTCACACGGAGAAGCCCCTCACCAGAGCAGGCACAGTCAGCGAATTGTCATTCCCACGCGCCCTTAAAACAAGCAAAGCTGAAGACCCATCAATCGCGAAGTGACCCCTAGATCTGTGGAGCAAGGAGAACACTGGATTCACGAGCTTGTCCTGCATATTGTTTTTTGGTTTAAAAGAATAACCCAGCCCAATTACACAGTAAAGAGTCAACACAGAAAGAACTATCACTAACACTTGCCGCTCATGACCTCCTGTTCAAACCAATAGCTGGGAAATAGAAGTAGTGAAAAACCGAAGGCAAAAGATACATTTGTTCAATAACACATCGGAGAGCTCACATCGCGGATTCAGCAAACGAGCGCTTTCAATCATACAGGACCCAAAGAATCAATGATTTCCGGGCCTTTCAAACAGCCCAAAAGCCTATTTTGGGAGTGGCTCAAACTTTTGTAGACACTTCCAAGAGCAAACATGGAACTTGCATGGCACCTTGACAACCATCTTCCTTTCAAGGGGCTGTGGATGCCACAAGAGGGCCCTTCTGGAGCACCCAGATGTCAAAACTCCCGCTGTATTTGTTGTGCAACGATTCAGGACCGCACACTTTACGGTCACTATTTGGTTGGTTGGACTTGAACTTTTTGAGAAACAGAGGGTTTTCAAATTGGTTGCAGAGGGGTTAACGGCAACCAAGCACAGGAGAGCCATAGCTTATGAAAACAGTGATGGCTCGTGACTCTTCGATGCCTTTAAGGCCCGTGGCCATGATTTTCGCATGGGCAAGCCTAGGCTGCTTTACGGGAGCGACATGCGCTCGGAGTTCTGCCGGGATGTCTTCAGCTCAAGAAAGCGGCCTGGATTTGTTCAAGGAAAGGCCGATTTGTCCAGCCCGCCTGCCTTTGTTGTAGACTCGCAGCAGAAGGGGCCATAGTCCATGAGGTCGTCATGAGATCCCCAAGGAGCCATTTTCTGGCAGGACTTTCCCATATTCCCCCGAGACCATGTGCCTCTCGGTTCCAAAGGGGGGTGACAGTGTAACTCATGATAAGCAAGCCGTTGATGGTTGGCTGGGCGCCCCAGAGCTTCGTGTGCGTTTCCCTTGGGCGCAGTTGCCTCGTTCTGTTCTGCGTGGCCACTTGGAAGCCGCATCCGCCTTCGCATCTCATCTCATGCAACTCAGGCTGGTGCTGGGTGTCTTCGGCTTCAGCACCACCCAGCGCCAAGCGGAGATCTTCCTGGGCATCCTCTTCACCGTCTTTATGGCGCGGGTGAAACCCCCTTTGAAAGTCTGAATCAAGTTGGGGACACTGGCGCCTGAGCACCTGAGTATGCTGGTCTTGTCCCACCCCCCAGACCCCCAGCAGTTTTGGTATTCTGCGAGATTTGGAGCGCCTGCCAGAGGTGCACATGGCCCAAGGGGTGCTGAAGCAGCACATGGTGCAGAGATCTGTTGCTCGGCTTGGCCCGGGACAGTGGGACCGTTTTGGTTGGCCACGAGGTTGTATGCCCAGTTGAACCATTCCTTGGAAAAGGGACTTGAGAGATGGGGGTGTTTCCTGGCAGTTTTTGTGCGCTCCCTTTCTCCTTGAGAGTTTTCCCCCTTAAGGCAAGTCCATTTTTCGAGAAGACGGTTGCAATACCACACTTCTGGGAGATAGATTATATATGTATATAGATAAGCCTCCTGCAAATTGGCGTGCGCGACAGCACTCCTTTACGGCAAATGCAGACAACCGTGCTAGGGGTTACCGACAACTGTTTCATGATCATGGATCCTGGCGTGCACATGATCCAGACAAACACATGCAACAGAATGCGCAGTCGTTTTGGACAGGCCCCCCTTTGGTTTCCGTGTCAAAGGGCTGCATTTCCTCTTCACCCCTCCGCCCATCACCAGGCGCAGAATGGGTTCCTCAAAGCACTGAGCAAGAGAAACATCTGCTTAACAGAGGTGCGCTCTTCCGTGGCGCTTGGGTTTCTCCATACGTGGACTTTGTTTCTTCCGACATTGCGTCACAGGTCAGGTGACGAGTATAGCGTAGCAAGGCGGCAGTGCAATTCCCATCGCTGCCGCACCAGCGTGTGGTGTCGATCCTGGCAGGGGTTGTGGGATCAAGGGCTTTATCCCCACTTCTGTGATACAAGGGAACCCTGTTAATATGGGGGGTTAGTCTTTGGGAGGCGCTGTTTGTTGTATCACAGAAGTTGTCATTTCCCACAGCCCTGATCCTGGGTTTCTGAATCGGGGCACGGGTCCAAAACTTGTTGCACCGCACAAGGTGTGGTGTGTTCCACCTTGAAGCATTGTTGTAGTCGAGTGAGCTTCCCTGAACTTGGGCGAGCTTTTTTTTTTTTTTTGGAAAGAAAGAGCAAACACCCCGGAAGCCCTGACCCCCCGAAGACGCGATCCTGGCTGATCTCAGGATGCAGGCTTCAAGCGCGCGCTGTGCTGGACCTTTCTCCGTAGCTGCCTGGCTGTCCGGATGCCGAGACTCTCCGAACCAGTCAGCCCATGCAGCCCATGATTGCTTTCACAGGACGTGGGGATGCTCAAAAGGCACGTTGGTGGCAGGCGTAAGTACTTCGACAAGATGACTCTCAGGCATTTGCTACGAAGGGACGACGCTTGCCAATGCATTGTCCTTTTGTGGGTGCTTCTGGGAAATGATGTGTGGGGCATGCTGGGTGTAGGGTTTGTCAGAAGTTCAAACATGTGACAGACATTCGAACCCTCAGCACACCGCTCCAGAAGGTCCATCCTACCCCCGGAAGCCACAGGGAAGCTCGGGCAAACCCCTTCCCAAAGGCGTAGGTTCAGGCAACATGTTCAGGAGTCGTTCCATTGGACTCAGAGCAGTCACACAAATCCCGCACAAACAAACAAAGAAAACTCAACAAGTTTCTCACGTCGTGGCTTGCCCCTGATTGCTCGTCTCAAGTGATGGGCGTTTCAGGTGGAATCTCGGGAATGCTGGAAACCACCCCGCATCAACTTGAGCCCCGGCTTAGGTCCTAGTCCGACTGCTTGCTCTCTGGGTCATGCGCCTTGGCCAAAGCAAGAAGTATCGCTGGAGAGGGGGGCAGCTACGTGGGTAAAAACCACTGCCCCACAAGTAGAACTTGTTTGCCCCAAGTCTTTGAATCAAGGACTGATGTTATGCACCAATGAGGTGTAACCCTCGTCCTTGAAGGAAACCACCAGATCAACCTACTCCATGCAACCAGACACTGATTTGGGCGCTCCGAATAACTCGGCTTCAAATCATTCAACTGCCTTTTTGTGGGGGTGGTGACGCAGGGGTAATGTGAGGGTAATTGGGCAATTGGAACCAAACTGTGCCCGATGAAGTCCGTCCAAGCTTCACGACGCGTCCGCGTGGCGCTTGTCTATCCACATCCCAGGCCTTCCAAAAATAGAGCACTCCCACCAGAAGCAACAAACAACCACAAACAAACAAACAAACAAACAAACAAACAAACAAACAAACAAACAAACAAACCAAAAAACCGCAACAGTTTCCTGTCAGTTTCCCCTTGAAGCTCGCCACTTTGGGGTTTTCCCCCACCAAAAACAACAACAAAAAGAGGAACCGACGCCCGGGGTGGTGGCTAAATCACAAGAAGAAGAGGAACCGGCGTCCAGGGGTGGCTCTGAGGCTGACGGCCTTCATCGAGGGGCCGGTGGCCTGGCGCCTGCAGCGCTACAGCTCCGTGCTGGGCGGCAACGAGCTGCGCCGGGGCCTCTGGTTACGTTTCGCCGGGGGGGGGGAAGCCACGGGCGAAAGCAAAGTCACGGGGTGCCCAGTTTTGTAGGTCATTTTGTTTGAGAGGGAAGCCGTGGTTGCCTCTGTTGCACGAGTTGTTGTGTATTTTGTTTGAGGGACAATTCCAAGAAAAGACACCCAAATGTGATGGCCCGAAATGGAAGAGCTAGAGGGCAAGAGGCGGGTTTCGGTCTTTCCATGCACCACGGTGCCATTTTGGGGATTCCGTTTTTGGCGCCACAGCCAGGTGTGTGTTTTAGGGAAGCCCCTTTTGGATCCGTGGTAAAACGGTTGGTCCTAACAAAAACCGAGAGAAAGACCCACGCTTTTGGAGCGGTTCCTGAATTTCAACATCCAAATGAGGCGGAAATTGTCCAGTGGTTTCCCTTCAGGAGACAACCCCCCGACAAACAGATCCCTCAAAACGAGTCGAAAAGTAAGTGGGTGGAAGTTTCCCTACAATATGTTCGGGTTGGGAAATCCCGGGTCCTATGCATGAAGCCCAGTTACTTGGAGAGGAACAGGGCCTCGCAATGCTGGGAATTCAGGAGTGGACCCCCATCATTTCCCATATCCCACCCCACCCAGGAATCCATCCCCTTTGCGCGCCAACACCGCCCCATCCCCTGCCCCAGTTGTTCAGTGGCGCCCTTTCCTTTTTCGTTTGATAGCTTTTCTCTTCCCCAGCAAGGAATAGTCTCATCCCACACAGGGTTACTGTTCTTGACTGCTATTGGGTTGGATCTTTAGACTTTTCTCACGCCAAATCCTTCAGGCTTCTGCCAGTGCGCCAAGTTCATCCGCGAGGGTGCCGCGGCCAGCACCTGCGGCGAGGTGCTGCTGGGATCCCACGAGGCCCGCTCGAGCATCGTCACGGGCGCGAGTCCCCCGGTTCTGAAGCTTCTGCAAGGGGGTCAGAAGTTGTTGGATCCGTTTGCCACTTCAGAAGTTCAACGAGGGTCAGCCAGTTCATCAGCCGTCCAAGGAAAGAGCGAAGCAAGCCATCTAGCCACTCCACTCCAGCCGAGGAATGCACCAACGTTGGATCAGGATGTGCCTTTTTGAAAATCAGGAGCCTTTGAAGTGTTGAATCCTCTATTGTGTTTTTGTGGTTCACCGAACAGGGGCCAACCGGCAAACATCGTCAACTCCTGCGTTTGGCACTCTCAGCCTGGCATCACTGTTGCCGCCTTTTTTCCGCCCTGCCCAGGGGCATTGCCTGACAGTGGTTGGTTCGATTTCCACTTTGCAGAAATCTGCTGGTGCCCAGGCAGAACTTTAAAACCCGTTGCTGCCCGTTGACTCGAATCATGTTTGAACCACTGTTTGACCACTCCATTTATCAGCGGTTATGGAACCTGATTCTGGGTGGCACGCAGGGGCCTGGAAAAGCGGGACATGCGGGACATTGTCCCGAGGGACGCATCAAGGTTCACACGGCAATTCACCAAACGATTTCTGACCGTGACGGGTCTTCGGAGTTTTTTTGAGCAGGAGCAGGCCCGTCAGTCCACGAGCCAGGTGCGGGAGGGTCCTCCTGAGGAAAATCATGGAAGACAGTTATATTAATCACAGATCCGCTTGGAATGTTTGCATGGTGTGCTTTTGTGTGTAAAGGTCACGACTCTGTCGGAGGGTCTGTTTTGGAGGGTATGTGGCTTGGAGGGAAACCCAGACACCGAAAGCTCAATTTTGTGGGGCCCCAAATCCCATTCTGGGAGTCCACATGATCGGTCAACATGTCCACTAGTCTAAGGTCCATTTCGCGACACGGGGCAGCTCACCAGATTTCCCCCAACCAGGACTAAGTTTCCCATGTTTGTTGAAGCTAAACGACATCAACCCTGGCTCACATTGTTTTGTTCATCCCACCGGAGTTCTCCGGACCACTCGCGTTTTCCAGTCGCCGACCTTGCAACAGCGCTGGGGCATCTACCTGAACAGCACTGCTGCGGACTGCCAGGAGGCGAATCTGGTGCCTGCAAAATGGCGGGCAGAATCGGTTTGAACAACCATGCCCTGGTTCCTCTTGAGAACAAGGAGGGCAATTAAAGAATACATGTTCAATCATGGGCTTGGCCCCAGGCTTCAAAATGGCCCAACAAAAATGACCACCCCTTCCGCCCAGAAAGCATGGCACATTGAAGCGGCCAAGCAGCCTCCTGTCGCGGTTTCCACTTGAACATCAAGTGCCGGACAAAGGCCTTTCTGTCCAATTGCTACCGGAGGCCTCGGGCGCACTGGTTCGATCCTGCTCATTTTTTAGGGGGTGGTTTGGCTGCCTGCCAGCGGGGGGGAGAATGGGAACTCAAGGTTAAAACGTCCTTGGTGGTTAATTTATTCGGGGAGGGCATTTTAGATGGACTGTGCCCTAATCTTCCTATCAATGTGAAGGGGCTTTGAGCATCATCTAACGATCCCTTGCCATGCTGCACAGCGTCCGTCTTGGAGCCGCCATGGTTGCTTGGTCCCGCATGAGGTCCAACCAAACATGCTTTCAGCAAAAGGACCCTGAAATGTCCGGATGACAAGCGAAGTGTATGGAGGTCCTCACAAGAAACTGATGCTTCAGAGCTCCAAATCCGTGGAAGCGCAGACCATGTTTCATATGGGGAAACCGTGGGAGTCTCCCAAATGACTCGTCAAGGGTCTTGAGGATCGGACGGCTTTGTGCAAGTTTCCTACACTTTACTCAGCGGAATCCCCGCCCCCCTGCCCAACAACAAATGAAAGAAAAACAAACGAGGGCATGGCGGGGTTACTCTTCACGCCTCAGGTCTTCTCGTCCGCCGGGGAGTCGTCTGAGGACCTTGTGTCTCGCGCGGAGGCGGGCCCTCTCCACACCCTCGATGTGGGGCCACGTTAGCAACTTTCAGATATTTTCTGTGGGCACATGGAGAAAAATGATGGGAGGGGGTCATGGGGCACAAGCTTTTTCGAAGAATGCGACGTTCGGAAGTGATTCTGAGGGCAACCAACGCCCGTTCCCCTGCGTCCTGTTTTGTCGAAACTTGTTGGCGCTGAGGGCTGGCTTTTGCACCGACCCCTGGGGGAGACCTTCCTGCCGGTCTTCCTGCCCCTTGCCATCAGTGTTACTTGTTAAGGGACCTGCGCTCACCTTGTGTTCAGAAAACTTAAGCCCCCCTGGCGTTCCTACACAGCGCTTGCTCGATTTTTCGAGCAGGGTTTACCCAACCCCATGGCAGGCGCCTAAATGGTCAGAGTTCAACTGGTTGGTTGGGCTTTGAGATGGGCTGGAAGGGTTTGGGAGCAAGACATGGGGATGGCAGCAGCCAACACGTTGAGCAACCCGTCCCGCCCTTACCTCCCACCAGAGCTTTTTGGGTGGGTGGGTGGGGGGCAGGGGTTCTCGTGTCAAAGAAAGGAAGCCGATGGCTGGAAGCCGCAAGCGACCTGAATGGGTGGGACATGCGGCTGTCTCGAAATTGGGGAGCCGGAAACCCCAAAGACACGAAAGGATACGCTCAAGCAACACACACACACATATATTGGCAAGTTGTTGTGCCTATCAGATGGTTGTCCGGTGAAATCCCAATAAACTAAAGAGCGCATGTCATGCCTGGGTTCATCATCCTTTGGTCGAGTACAATTTGGGGTCGAACCCAGCACGTGTGTTTCTAGCAAAGGCCTTTCTAGCGTCCAGCATGCATATCGAAGTTGCGGGTGAATAGTTCCCAGCTGGGTTCCCTGTACTGGCTGTTGTGTCTTGAGTCTCGTACTTGTTTGGCCCCTTGAGGCTCGGGCTCTTTCAATGTCCCTACCCAACCTTGTAACATTGTAGGCTTGTCTGAACCCTGACAAGGATTCGCCAACAGCGAGCAAGTCTGCAAAGTGGGTGAAAGGCGGCAAGCCCTCCGGAGACGGCGTTCATTCCCAATGGAGGCCAGCTTTACCAAATTCGCCGAGGTTGTTCTTGGTCAGTGGTCTCTTCCTGGCGGTGCTGCTGTTGCCGATCATCCCCGCTCCTCGGAGCCTGCAAGGGGTTTTTAATGGCTCCTTTTTTTTTCCGGAGGCTTGGGGGGGAACTGGCACTTGCGTTTATATGCTTGGTTGCCTGGGGCAAGCAGGGTTCTTTTGGACATTGTGCGGGCTCCTGCATGTCTAGGTTTCATGGCACTCCTCCCTGCGAACCAAGGCTCCCCTTTCTTACCCATGACGAGCTGCTGTCCGCCAACTCGGGCTTTAAATGGACAAGTCTCATCCCAATTTCCGTGAACCCGAGTGACAAGCGCAGCGGACTACTCGGATTCGGCAGGACATTGCTTGGCTGGTGTACGTGTCAATGTTTATTGAGCCATGTTTTACATATCCACTGGCAAAATGCCGGACGCTGCAGTGGAGCCGGGGTTTTGTTCCATCGAGCTGACGAGCTGACCGCGGCGCAGGGCGTGTTCGGGACATTGAGGCCACTTTCTGTGACACCACAAGGAGCCTTGTAAGCTGCAAAATCGGCCAGTGGGGGGGCCCAAATCGGAATCACAGCATGGGGCCAGGTGTCCTCCATGACTCAATGCCCGACTTGGGAGGCCCCAGAACCCTTCTGGTTGAAGTCTTTTTTTGCGCCGTGTTAGTGTCCTTTCTCCTGTCCCCGGCGGTTCCGGAAGCTTCTGAGCCCGCGGGCGACGCCTTCGAATCCGATTCAACGCGACTCCAAGGAATTCTTTGTGGGGGTGTTCAACCTCTTTGTGCCGGTGCTGCTGCTGCCTGGCAAGAGAAGATCGGGCCCCTCGGTATGCCCCTCTTTCTGGGGCAGTGCAGTTCCTTTGGGGGCGGTTTGAAGGGAAACCTTTCCTCTACAGGGTGGTTTCAATTGAACCTGCAAGTTTCCGAGTCTCCGCTATTGAAAAGAAAAGTCTCACCTCAGTCAGGAGACCTGCTTGGGATGGCATCTATGTAGACACCGCCAAAAGGCAGGTCCTAAGAGAACTGCGACTATGGCCCATAGATAAGCTGCTTCAAATCCAACCTTTATATCGTTTTGGGCGAACCCTGTGAAGAAAGTCTGAAACGGGAGACTCCTTGCATGAACTCTGGCCAGAGCCTAGGTGGTATGCTACGTCAAGTGAGGAGCCATGCAGTAGCCCAATGCGTCAATAGCCCTGAAGGCTTTCTGGACTCTGTGGGGAGGGCTCCCAACCTCCTGAGTTGTTGCCATGGGTTATGTACCTGGGTTGGAATGCAACCTTTAGGCTATGCCCGGTTAGGGGCACCTCACGGAGGCTTTCGCTGACCTTCTTCCTGGTGCAGTTCCGAGTGTTGAGCCCCATCACACAGGAGCCAACTCGCGTTTGCGGTGGCCAAGCAATGCGGTTGGGGATCTTCAATGCCGGATCCTCTAAGGCGCTCTTGAACGCTTCATCTTTTCAACGTCGACCCGTGTTAAACGCCATGGCCCACGTCTAGTCAAAGTCCCAATTATTGTTCGTCTAACTCCTTTGTTTGGGCACGTGCGGCAGGCCCGGTTCCCCGCCCCGTTAGTTAGGAAGCCTATCTTCGGTTCCCAACAAAATTGTGTTCTATTTGGGGGTGCTGGCCCCCCAAAATAAACAACGGGAGCCTCTGAAAAGCGAATGGTGGACACAAATCCCAGTTAAATCCCCACCTAAAGGATGTCCACCTTCTCTGCTTGCTGGCTGAAGTGACCCAAGCTGATTTCTAGATTGGTGAGATTGACGGGGGTGGGTCTTCCCTCGTAGGACAAAACATGGCCCTCAGAGAATGCGGTACAAGAAAAGGGTCCGCTACTCTGAACAATTTGGATTCCCTTTAAACTTTTAGATTTAAGAGCCCAGGCATGTTTCCCAGGCCACGCCCTAGAAGCGAATTCTGCAACCATCGCAGGAGTTCAATGTTTTGGGGTAGTTGGCCTACTTTGAGAGTGGGTGTTGGGCTCAAGTTGAAAATCCGGAGAGGAGAAGTACTTCAGCCTGCATCTGAATAGCCGGCTGTGGGCCAGGGCGATGCCGCGCGGCATCATGCGTGTAGGATGGGGGGGGGCCTTGGGATGTGGGGCTTGGTTTCTTAGTTATTAGTTGTTTTGATGGCAGAGCAAGGGAAAAGGTGACGGAGGCACTTCATCAAGCCAGGCTTCTTGGTACTTGTGTTAGCGTGCGTTGTCTAAAGCTGCCACGAAACACGCCGTACTTTATCCGTTTGGCTGGGCTGGCCTCAGTTTGTCGCAGCATTGCGAGTCTCCGCTGAGTGTAGTTCTTGGATGTTTGCTGCCCTGTCACGGGTCCTACTTGCACCGTTGCAAAGATGCCCACGTACTCTGGCACCGCTGTACGAGGCCCTTGTAAAGCCAGCCATTTGCCACTTGATCACCACTGACAGATGTGTCCATTTGGTTGGTCCTTTCAATAGTAAGACCTTAGATGTCAATCGTTTGGGATACCACTGAGGGAGTCTTGGCGCCCAGGCAGTGCTGCCTCTTCCTCGCCATCGTCGGCCTTGGCTTCTCGCGCTTCTTCCGCACCTTCACGCGGCCCCGGCGAAGAAGGGGCGAAGATCCGGACAGGGTTCTGGCAATAGTGGGGTTAGAACTGGCTCTGGGTGATGCAGAGGAAATCCCCTTTCGTGGAATGAGTCATACGGACGACGCTTGGGTAGAATAGAAAGGGGCCTGCTAGTGATCCACAGCCATGTCCCCAAACGGCCAAATTGGGCTTGAGAGGGAGGCGCAGGCGGCACGCTGGCAAAATGCCATTTGGTTCTCATTGTTTGCATTTTGGAAGATCCCGAAAGATAGCCGTTTTATTCTTGGTCCTTTGGGCGGGTGGAGGACATGTGAGGTGAGCTGCATTCGCAAGACCGAGGCACCGCTACTATTCCCGCAGTCTGCACAGAGCATTCTACGCAGGCGGCAAGAACTGCACGTGGTCGCAGGCATGGCTTACCGTCGTGTGGCCGAACTAATTGGGGACCACACGGGAAGACAGCACATCGAAGTGCTTTGTCATAGGGTTTGGGGGTTAGCCAATTTTGAGCGAGCTTCCCCATTCCCGCCAAACAAGGTTCCCTTGCTCAATGGGGTCGGAAGGGATGCACGAGCTGACGAACCACTAGTCTTCGCGACAACATGGCCTGCATGTGGCGCCCATGATGCATCATCCTTCGATTCTTGCGGACATTTGGCATGAACTCCTATGGGCCCATCCAGCTGTTGGCGCAGTTGCCCGTCTACCCTTTCTTTCCATGGCTACTGAGTTGTTTTGAACCATTCGAGGGTCAATTCCTCTCAACGGGAAGGGCGTCACACAATCGATCGGGAAGTCTTCGTATGGGTTTGTAAATATGTTTCATGACGCACGAGATCCAAGCATTAAGCGAAGCCAGCCGCTTGGAGCCGAGTTTGCTAGGTGCGGCGGAACCCCTACTGCCCCATGTTTCTGCTGGGTGCGACTGCAAATGACTACCTGCAGGCGGGACTTGCGATTTTTGATCGAACCAAAGCGGGGCAAATGGCTCATGGTCAGCCAAGCTACGAACGCAGTTGCCTTGTGCACAATCTGATCAATTTTGGATCTTGCATGGTCCAGCCTCAGACAAAGGGGCGCAAGTGTGTTTTTCCAAGCGTCCGTATCAATCTAGACAGGGCCCCCTTCCAGCAGCTGCTCAATCATGGTGCCTGGTTGCGTTCAGGGTCAACCTTGTTAAGAGACCACTTGTTCGGCAGATGGATTTGCCAACTTGAGCACTGGAATGGGGAATGTGCATGGCCCGAATGCATAGGCGAGTTTTCTCACCCTGGTTCCGCTGGCCCGGGAACCATTCCACATCCTTTTTGACATCCCTAGGCAATTTTTTGTGGCCAGGCATGAGTAGACAAGAGGGAAAATCGTATTCCTGGACAAGTAAAATGCGATGTGAATTGCCTTGTGTTATTTGAGTGTTTACGAGGTCATTTGGGGGCAGAACTTACTACAGGGATCTGGGCAACATAAAGAGCTCGGACGCGGGATGGGGAGGGGACGACGAAGGTTCTTTTGACGGGAGTTTCCTGATTTTAAGTGTTTTGCAAGTTGCACTGGTGTGTTTGGCTGTGGGCACCCTTTTTTAGGGTTAGGCCAAATTGAATTATTCGGAACCTTTCTGACCCGCAGTTTTGACCAGATGGACCACACGGGGCGGGGATTTCTCGAGCCGTACCCTGAGGTGGGCGACGGGGAGCCGTCGAGCTACGTGACCTTCTCCCAGCTGCACGCCGGCGGCTCCCGCTTAGGTCCCTCCGATCAATGTCGCACCAGCTTTGGATTGCTGGGGGTGGGTGGGGGTGGGGCTGTTGCAGAAGCGCTGTAGAGTTTCTTGGGATTTGGGTTGAACTTCCTGTTTGGAAACCTCATTGCCGCCTTGGCGCTTTTCGGCGGAATCTTGAGGCTACTTCTGGGCCTACGGCCGGCGCCCGCTGGCGCGCACCGCCGCGCTGAGCGGGGGTGCCATCGATGGCTTCATCATGGCGAAGAACGACTCTCTGAGATCCTCGGCCGGCTGGGTATGCTACCCATGGCAGGTATTAAGGTTTTACAGAGGTTTGGAGGTTTGGAGATTTGAAGTCTTTGGAGGTTGAGGGGTTTGGGGCACAAATGGCGCGGAGACTTCAGAGTTTTGGAGGCTTGGGTGGGTTGGGTGGCTTTCACGGCTCGAGCGGCTTGGCCTCCAGACTTTGGCAAGCAGTAAGCAGAACTGATGGAGGTATCTTTCGCGCAAGTCCTTTGTGCTCTGGTTTTCAGCACCGTCACGACTATAGCCAGGTTTGCTTGCAATAGCCATCTGTGTGGCAATAGGAAGCGTGACACCTTTCTGCTGCCGCTGCTACGATTGAGGTGCCAATGCTCTCTGACTGCTGCCACCTCTGCATTGCCGGTGCTGAATCGGAGGCCCTTTCCTTTCGAGGTACCAAGGTTCGAGGCGCCTCGAGTCAAACCGCAATCCGCAAGAAGGAAGCCCCCGAGGCCTGCGCTTCTGGTTGGAGGCCTTAGGCTTCTTCATGGGCGACTTCGTGCGCGTCGGTCGCCAGCGCAAGGAGTGGCCCCTTGGCAAGTTCGGTTTGTTTGGCCCCTGACTGCACGCAAGGAGTTTGGTGAGTTGGTCAGAGTCCGGCAAGCTAGCACTCAGGTGCCCTCCGAAGAGCACAGTGAGCATGTGAGAGCAGTGAGATTTTGAGCAGAGTTGGAGAAAACTTGTGAGATGACACGCTGCGTTATTCTGCGGCGTGCATTGGTTGACACCGGTGCCATTGTCAAATGAAACCCAGGCTGCCGGCTGCCACGCGCAACGGCAGGGCAATTTCATGAACTCTTCCTTGCGGGGCAAAGGAAGCGTGTCCCTTCGGGGTCTTGACGTTCCCACATGAACTACCTCCACAGCCCATCATAAGATTGCGGCGAAGCCTGCTTGGGTGTTTACTGAACTTAAGGACATTTCTGTGGATAAAGGGAACCGCTCACAAGCGGAGCTTGCCCACAATATTGGGTTGTCTCTTCAAAGGCAGCGCCCAAGCCAACCCACGAGGGATCCAGACCCCGCCTCTAATGTGCGTCAACTACCCCACTTGCCCTTTCATCTTCCCAAAGAACCAGAGAGAGAGAGAGAGAGAGAGAGAGAGAGAGAGAGAGAGAGAGAGAGAGAGAGAGAGAGAGAGAGAGAGAGAGAGAGAGAGAGGGAGGGGAGGGAGGGGAGGGAGGGAGGGAGGGAGGGAGAGAGGGAGAGCAGGGTACTTTTTGACCGCCGTTTGGATTTGGCACCTCGAAAGGTCGCCGCACGATTCTGTAAAATATGTTTTCGCTTGGCACCTTTCGTCCGCACATGTGTGGCTCTGAGGACACGCCTGGAGCAGGTTCTTTCTCTGCTGGCGATAGAGCTGGCGACCCGGCAGCAAAAAGTGATGGACATACCCCGTTCCCCAAGTGAGATGAGAGAGACAAGTGAGCTCGGACATTTCGCAAGATGACTAGGAAAGGAAGACATGACAGTGGAGGATCACATTGAGATGAGTCCACTACCCCCAACCTACTGGGGAAAATGCGGCATATGCCCTTTACAAAAAGTGGCTATATGTACGTAGCCGTCCTCCCAGCAACCTCCAAAAACCATCGCTCGCCAGAGGGCTACGTCTGCCTCTTCTTCGCCATCTCCTTGGCCGTGCCACCGGCTGACCTGGGCAGCTGCAAAACGGCGCGCCGCTTGGCCCTTGCAGCGGCGCTGCAGGCGGGGGGGGGGGATGACTGGTTGTCCCTTTAGCAAAATGCTCATTGTTTCATGGGGCGAGCTAGGGAGAGCACCCATCACACGCTTAAGGCCTTATTAGGTGGCTGATTCCAGGCTTAATAGCCCCCCTGCTTGCCCTCTTTGCAGGTGAATGACCTGAGGTGTGGGGGGGGAAGGAGGTTCGTGGTGGGGGGGGGCATGCAAGCAAACGTGAAGCCTAGAACAAGGCGAACAAGGGCCCCCAAAGGAAGATTCTTCTAAACGCCACACCCTCCTTGATCTAAAGTCGTTTTTTGGCTTGTGACCAGTTGTTCTTTGCAGGGGCTCCTGGCCTTTACTCCTATAGCTCAGAAACATCTCGCACACGCATCGAACCGACTTGATGCATCTTGATGCAATCTTTTTTCCTTGACTGCTGAGAAGCCTGTATGTCTTGGCTAGTTGACGTGAGCATGTTGCGTGTCCTCCAAATTGCCACTGGGACCCCAGGTTCGATATGCGATACTTTTCTACGTTTATTTGTAGGGACATGTTCGTCCAAATCATAGGCTATGTCAGGTTGTCCCAAGGATGGCTGGGCCACAGCCAGCTTTTCGATTTGAAGGAATTTTCAGCTAGTGGCGAGAGCAAAGCTGAGCTTCATTGAACAGTTGCTTTGCCGAAGCAGGCCCAGTCAGATAGTGGGACACCAACTGCTTCTCTGCCCATTTGTTTCGCTTTAGTAGGTGACTTGTTTGTTCTTTCCACTGGGTTTGCAAGCGGTTGGAGTGAATGACGTAGCTGCCTGTTTAGCTGTTTGGTCTTTTAGAGGGAGGCCAAAGAGACCGAGCAGTGTTTGCTTTGCAACCCGGAACCTGAGCATAAGTTCTTTAGAGGAAACGAGCCAACTTGAGAGCTCCCGCCTCTTTAGGCGCTGATCGTGACTGGCCTCAGCTTCTTCAGCTTCCTTCCCTGCCTCGGCACCGTGGCTAGCACACGAGCCCGGGATAGCCTTGAAGCGGCATGCGCCGCCGGGGCTTGACATGTCTGTTTAGTTGGCGTTGCTTTGCTTGTTTGATTGTGTGTTTGTTGACAAGTTGGTCAGTTGATAAGTTGGTTGGTTGATGAGTTGGTGGTTGGCTGGTTGGCTGGCAGTTGGTTGGTTGGTTGGTTGGCTGGTTGGTTGGTTCGTTGGTTCGTTGGTTGGTTGGTTGGTTGGTTGGTTGTTTGGTTGGTTGGTTGGTTGGTTGGTTGGTTGTGTTTTGCTGTGTTTTGTTGTGTTTTGCTGTGTTTTGTTGTGTTTCGCTGTGTTTTGTTGTGTTTTGTTGTGTTTTGTTGTTTTTTGCTGTGTTTTGTTGTGTTTTGCTGTGTTTTGTTGTGTTTTGCTGTGTTTTGTTGTATTTTGCTGTGTTTTGTTGTATTTTGCTGTGTTTGGTTGTGTGTGATGTGTGTGTGTGTGTGTGTGTGTGTGTGTGTGTGTGTGTGTGTGTGTGTGTGTGTGTGTGTGTGTGTGTGTGTGTGTGTGTGTGTGTGTGTGTGTGTGTGTGTGTGTGTGTTGTGTGTGTTGTGTTCTCGGTTGTGTGTTTTGCGTTTGCTGTGTTTGGTTGGTTTGGTTTGGCTTGGTGGTTTTTGTTCTGGTTGTTTGTCTGCGTGTTTGTTTGTTTGATTCTTTGTTTGTTTGCTTTTTTGTCTCTTTGCATGTGTGCTTGTGTGCTTGCTTGCTTGCCTGCCTGCCTGCCTGCCTGGCTTGCTTGCTTGCTTGCTTGACTTATTTGCTTATGTAGTTTGAGTTTGCTTTGTGACGGCTTCGGTGGCTTTGCCTTTGGTTTGGGTACAGCCCGGCCTGATTGTTTGGGTGCATGATGGTGGTCGTGATTGTGTTTGGGGCAACTTGCTGTTGCTTTGGGCATTTGGAGGGGACCGGCGAGTGCATTGGCAATGTGCATCGCGCACTGGATTGGCAGGTTGCAGTCTCCACGCTGGCGTTTTGCAACCATTTTTGGGTTCGGCTGAGAAGCCTCCCATGGAATTCAAGAACGCTAGAAGAAGTTGCCGTTCGAATCATTAGCTCTGTGATTTATCTTGGTCGTTGGTCGCCGGCCGAAGCTGGCGAGCCAGAGGTTGGATGCAGCGCTCCCCATATGTGCGGACGCTGCAGCAGGCAACGCGCTTCTACTACCAGCGCCTCCGCCAACAAACCCGGGTGTTGGGTTTTGCATTTTTTTTCCTGGGTGTGTTTGATCGGCGTCAGTTCCACCACAGGTCGCCGAGCCCACCGCGGAGTGTTTACATCTCGGACGGGGGGGTCATGGAGAACTCCGGGATCTTGGCCCTGATGCAGCGCCGCTGCAAGCGGATCTTGGCAGTCTACGCGGGGGAGGAGAAGAAGGGCAAGGCGGGCAAGAGGGAATGAGGAGGGGGGAGGCAGGGCAGGATGGCTGACTCATGAGATCATCTTTGGTCAACCCAATCTGGCAACCATGGAGCGAGGTCCCCAAACATATTTTTGGTTATTTTCTAGGCCTGCGGCCTCTAGCCGGCTACGCCTCTTTGAAGTTATACCACGTCATGTCATGTTTTGTGCATGAGAAACGTATCCTGTGCTATGATATGGCTATGTTGCCCACCTTAACCCCAGATAATGCCGGGGATGCCGGCTTTGGGCCCCAGCCGGGCCCCAACCCAGAAGGCTGACATGGGGTCGCGCGCGCGCGCGCCAGAGGACCCAAAAAAAGCAGCCCAAAAAGAGCAGCCCGCAAGCCAGCCCGGAAACGCAAACGCAACAAAACAGCGTAAATAGCAGCGTTTTGTGGCTGGGGTCGCGCGCGCGCGCCAAAAAGCTTGAAAACCAACGGGAAAAAAGCAAGGACTGCGCAGCGCGCGAGCCAGCCACAGCAAGAGCAAAACGGACAGAACAACAGCCCAACGCTCAGCGCAGCAGTTTTTGCGGTATTTACAGCGTTTTGGAGAGCGAGGACCCAGCATCACCGGCATGCCCGGCAGCGCTTGGCGCCAAAATGCGCAAAAATGAGCCTCGCTTATACCCCTCCGATACCTTCTTAAAAACAGTGCTTCATGGGTTGAGGGGCTTTTTGGAAGGAAGTCTTGATGATGCAGGCCAAGCCCCGCTGAAGCATCGCCCAGGCCCAACCCCAGACCCTGACGATGTCAGCCACATGGCCTTTTCCCTGCATATACGCGACGTTTTGCGAGGGTTTCCCACAGGCAAGCAAAACCGCAAGCCCGAGCTGGTGATGCAGAGGTGCCGGATTTAGGCAGCGCGTCACGACCAAGTGGCGAGGGTCGGCGGCACCAGGCTGCACCCCCTATAGCTAAAGCTAGCAGGCTAATTGCCTAGCGGCGACATGCTACCCCAAGGAGGCGTAGCCGGATTAACCAGGCTCCCGCCTGCTGAAGGGAAAAGTCATAACGACCGGTCCTGAAACACGTCCGCAAACCCAGGGACCACTTATAAGATCCTCTACGGCCACAAACAAGGATTAACGGAAAAGTGAGAAATATGGCAGCTAGTCCGTTAATTACCGCTCGGGAAACACGGGTGCCAGTCCGGAAACAGGTGTCTGGAGCAGTTTGAGGTGCAGCGGTTTGAAGTGCACAGGACTCGAGCCCGGGACCGGTGCTGGGACTGGTCCCGGGGCTGGTCCCAGGACCGGTTTTGGCTGACTGCAAGTAATCTGAAGCAGAACCAGGGTCCCAGGACCAGTCCCAAGTCCCGGGACCGGTCCTGGGAATCCACTTTTTGTGCTTTCGGGCGTGTTGTCCAGGGACCATCATTGATTCCAATCACTTCCCGTTGCATCCCACGCCGGTCCCCTCTGCAGGAGGCTGGGACGGGAGGCAGAGGGTCGGCGGATTTACCGGTCTCTCGTGGCACGTGAGCAGCACCCTGGCCAAAGGGGGGAGGGGGTAAGCGAGGAGGTTGGAAGAGCCGTCCCCCCAGAGCCATTAGTATAGCTATTATAAGCGCAGGATCAGCTGAGCGCGGAGAGGAAGGCTTAACTCTGACATTTTCGAGTTAGCCCCAGATGGCGCTTTGCATTCTGCAAGTCAGTCAGGAGGCATGGGGCCACAAGCAAAAGCAAAGCGACAGGTTTCAACTGCCAGAGCATGGGTGTTAGGCAAGCCGGATCTCATGGAGTCAGTTGCTTCGATTCGCGTGACACGCGAAATCAGTGCGCTTGGGGGCCAACTACAGCCAGCATGCGGCAAGGGCAGCCACTGAAGGTTTCACTTTACCTGGATAGATCCCAGCAACATGAGTCCCCAGCCCCTTGCCACTGATTGTGTGCCAGAAAGAGCAAGTTCTGGGAATGGGGTCGCTCCTGTGTAAGGACTTGGCACCCGCAGCATTAGAGTGTGAGTGCTTCACGTTGGCATCATGTTGCGGTTCCCACATCGGGCTGCTGTGGGTGGGGCTGGTGCTCATGGCAGGAGCTGAACTGCCTACACAAGCTGCTGAGCAAGATGCGGCTTGACGAAAGAGAATGGGAGAGGAGACACGCGCCGTGCGTATCCAGAATAGGTTCATCGAATAGGGCGTTGAAGTTGCAGAGAACGATGTTGATCTTCGATTATGTATTTGCCCATGCCCTAGCTTGCAGATTGCTGGGGGGGAGGCAGCTTGCGGGCGGTTGTTCAAAGAAGCCGAAACTGGACATTCCGGCAATCTAACCCCAGCATGAGGTTGCTGGGGGGGCGTTGACTCAAACAAGCGGATCATAGCAGATGGATCTGACTCGGGCCAAGTCTGTGCCCTTTTGGTGCTCCCCTTCAAATCCTCCCCGGTTGAACACTTCATGGCATCTTCTGTCGTTTCAGTCCGACACGCTGCTTGTTTCATTGGCTCCAGGTACGGGCACTTGAGGCAAGCCCGACCCGTCACGTGGCGCCCCTTCGTTTCCATTGTTTGACGGTTGCCTTGCATGTGTTGGCTTATCCGGGGGACACTAATCAGTTGGCTCCTTTGGCCGTTGAATAGCCCCCTTTGGGTTCTATGAATTTCCTTTGTTCTGCGTGATCTAAAGCGGAGGTGGAGCCTACTTTCTGTTGCCCTCGCCGAAGGTTTATCAGGATTTGGCTGTTTGATCTTTGTTTGCCTGGTGTCTTTGCCTGGTAATTCTTGATTGAAGATCTCAGGGACCAACCGGAGGTCTAGGCAAGTTCGTTGGACGCCTAATGCTGCAAGTACCGGAAGCGAAATCTTTAATTCACAGGAATTCGACGGATGCGAAGGGAACCAAAAGTCTACAACAAGCACCACCCTTCACTGCCGAGGCACGAGGAGGACATCGGCTACCTTTTTGACCTAAGTGAGCCTCGCAGGGGCCCGTTGCATACACTCAAGGCGGGAAAGAGCCCGTTGCGTTGGGCGAGCCAATCTGTGTTCTCGTGGGTGCACGCGCGCGCACCCATGCAGTGTGACGAGCAAGCCTGTGCATTCTGCCTTGGCGACCATAGGAGTGCGGGGAGAGCGGAGAGAGCTTTTTAGAGCTGGGCATTTTCTACCACAATGACCCGGAGACCGGCATCCTGACGCTGGTCCGGAACAAGGCAGACGGCAGGGGCCAGTTGAAGCTGCTGCTTGTCGTTGTTGGTGCGGTGGCAGTGTTCCTGGTCTCTGAAACTACACTGTTTCCAAGTTTGATCAAAGCTGAGCCGCACTATTCAAAGATGCACGCGGCGTCAGGTACCGCCTGATTGGGACCAGCCAGTCTTGCAGCACCTTTCTGAGGAGGAGGTCATGGGGAACCTCGGCAGGTCTCCCCCGAAGATTCCAGAGCGCAGTCGGAATCATCCGCCGATTTTTGTCAGGGCCCGGTTGTGGTTTGGTTGTAGATGTTCTCCAAGAGGAATAGGAGGCAGATACAGGCTTATCACATGCTTCTTCTTTTTTCTCCGCTGGGTGCCCGGTCAGACGGTGTTGAAAGCCGGAGGGGTCAGTGACAGATCAGCCGCAGTTTCTCAAGGCTCGCGGACCCCGAGTTGGACCTAACGCTGCCGTTAAAGCAAACGAAGCTGGGCGGCTGCTGCTGCGATTGCTGCCACCGGCGCCTCGGGTTGTTTTCAGGGTTCGAGATGCTAGCACATGCACACCCCAGGCTGCTTTCAACACCTAAGGCGTTAGCAGTCCAAGACAAAAAAAAACGCATGGGTTGTCCAAGATCAACATCTGAAGAGGGTCCTCTATAGATCCAGTTCGTTGGATTTGGTTTTTCTGTTTTGCTCCGTTTCCGGGGGTGTGACACTTGTTTTCCGCTGGATCTTCCCGGTGAGCGGATCCGGGCATCGGGGTTGGGCCAGCTGCCACAGACCCCATGTCAAGAAAATGCGGGAGGACGTTTACACGGACCTGTGGTTCCTTTTTATGGTTGCTCTCTTTTGGTGGGCTGGCTTGAACAGCTGCACAAGGCGTGCAGGTGTTTTTCGAAATGGCCACTGGGGGTCTGGGTTTTAATTACTTTTTGGCCAGAGGTTTCTCCCGACCCGCTTGATTTTCGCCCAGGCACTGCTGCAACCGCTGCATGGGCCGCTTCCCCACGCCCCCCACGGCCAACCAGCGCCTCGCCGAGAGACGGCGCAGAGGGAAGATGGGAGGATGGGAGGATGGGAGGATGAAGCAAAAAACTGAGACGCTAAGCCCAGGCAGGGTTTATCTTCGTCGAGACCAGCGGTGTGCGAGTGAGCAGCTGGGGGGTCGGCAGGCAGCTGATTGATCGACCGAGAAACCAGCACACAAATCTGAGCCGAGCAACCCAAACTTCTGCTGGCCTTAACTTGCACTGCGTCTTCATGTTGGGAGGATGGGAGGATGGGAGCATGGGAGGATGGGAGGATGGGAGGATGGGAGGATGGGAGGATGGGAGGATGGGAGGATGGGAAGATGGGAGCATGGGAGGATGGGAGGATGGGAGCATGGGAGGATGGGAGCATGGGAGCATGGAAGGATGGGAGGATGGGAGGATGGGAAGACGGGAAGATGGGAGGATGGGATGATGGGAGGATGGGAGCATGGGAGGATGGGCGGATGGGAGGATGGGAAGATGGGAGGATGGGAGGATGGGAGGATGGGAGCATGGGAGGATGGGAGGATGGGAGGATGGGAGGATGGGAAGATGGGAGGATGGGAGGATGGGAGGATGGGAGGATGGGAGCATGGGAGGATGGGAGGATGGGAGGATGGGAAGATGGGAGGATGGGAGGATGGGAGGATGGGAGGATGGGAGGATGGGAGGATGGGAGGATGGGAGGATGGGAGGATGGGAGCATGGGAGGATGGGAGGATGGGAGGATGGGAGCATGGGGGAGGATGGGAGGATGGGAAGATGGGAGGATGGGAGGATGGGAGGATGGGAGGATGGGAGGATGGGAGGATGGGAGGATGGGAAGATGGGAGGATGGGAGGATGGGAGGATGGGAGCATGGGAGGATGGGAGCATGGGAGGATGGGAGGATGGGAGGATGGGAAGATGGGAGGATGGGAGGATGGGAGGATGGGAGGATGGGAGGATGGGAGGATGGGAGGATGGGAGGATGGGAGGATGGGAGGATGGGAGCATGGGAGGATGGGAGGATGGGAGGATGGGAGCATGGGGGAGGATGGGAGGATGGGAAGATGGGAGGATGGGAGGATGGGAGGATGGGAGGATGGGAGGGTGCTAAGCCCAGACAGGGTTTATCTTCGCCGAGGCCAGCGGTGTGCGAGTGAGCAGCTGGGGGGTCGGCAGGCAGCTGATTGATCGCCCGAGAAACCAGAACACACAAATCTGAGCCGAGCAACCCAAGCTTCTGTTGGCCTTAACTTGCACTGTTTCTTTATGTTGACCCCATATTGCTCAACCCCAGTTTACGAGTACGAGGGTGTTGGGACAGCCCCCTGTTAATAAACTGGTGTTGATGAATATGTGATCAGCATTACGGCGGGCACCCCACCCAAGTTTGGAACTCCAAGGAACTCCAACAAGCTCGATTCCTCGGACAGGTGAGTTATGCTGAAGTTGCCTCGATTCCTCGGACAGGTGAGTTATGCTGAAGTTGCCCCGTAAACAACGAATCACTGGTGGTGGTGCTGCTGCTATTGTTAAGACACTGCCGCTTTCATGTCTTCCAGACATACTTCCCCCTGCCCCTTTTGGCGCTGAGGTTTCTTACGCCGCAGATGTTCAACTCCCTTTGCCGGCTTGGTCGTGAGCTGGTCCCCTTCTCTGTCGCGCAGCGGTTGTGACCAGGGCGGGTTGGTGCCTGAGCGGCAAGACCCACTGGTGACGTGGTTGCTCCGCTTTGGGGCAATGTGTGTTCAGGCACGTTCGGGCATCTTGTTTCTGGTGGATAAGGGAGGAGCTTAGGCGAGCTTAGCATCAGACATTGGCCGCCTCTCACGCATGGATCCTCCAAATCAGCGCAGAAAGAGGACGGAGCTGCTGCGAGTTTTTTGGGGTGAGAAGTGGATGAATTTCCAACGTTTAGGGGCCATAGTTCCAAGGCAGATTGAATCTTTCGGGCTGGCCGGCTCCAAAGGCCACAATGATTGGAAGAGAGGCCACGCGATCTGAAAATGAGGACCCTGACCGCCCTGACCTCAGATTGTTCTCTTGAGGGACCCTCCCCCCAAGCAAATGCCTGGTTTCCCTTTGGATTTCGCGTTTCGACGACCCGCTTTGTGATGATCCGGATCAGTTTGGGCGGTGGCTTTGACCTCGCGCGCGGGAGGCGGGAGATCCAGGCGTCAAGTAGCGCGCCGGTCCCCAAAGCTGGGACCATCCGAGGGCGGCAAGGCCAAGTCGGAAAAGGGCGAGTGCTTCAGAATGTTAACTTTGGTGGATTTTGCTTGGCTGTTAGGACTTTAACTTTTTGCCAACTAATGGGTTTTCCACTAAACCACTAAAAGTTAAACTTTTAGCAGGGGAGCAGAAAGCAACCGAGGAGTAAAGTCCTCAAGAACCCCAGCGGGATGGATATTATTTGCACTAGTATCCAGACCCTTTGTTGAAACCTCAGTGGCTTTTCAGGCATGGCGCCTGAAGCAAGTCACTCTGTGGAAGTGCAGAGTTCCTCAGACCTTGCCCGTGGTGACGGTTCCACCTCGCAGGATCTTGTTTCGGTTGCTCACTTCCTTTGGATTTGTTCGCATGGATATATGGATGTTGCATTTCTTCTAAGGGCTATCTTCCTTACAGCACCGATGAGAACGGCGGTTCGTCCACATGCAGTGGAGGCCCTGCTCGCGCCCCTCAAGGACATGCTTGCCTCATTTGCCTTGGGGAAGCGATTGCTACATGCTCCCTGTGACATCGCCCCAAAATCGCAAATGACACAAGCCACACTTCCCACGGCTCCCTGTTGTCTCCGTTGGCTTGACCGAGCGCGCCCCCCCCCCCCTCCCAAAAAAAATGAAGAATAACAATTACTTAGGCGGGACTTGGACCACATCTCCACCTCCAACGTGCTGATCCTCGGGGGCGGCGGGGGCTTCTCCGGCGCCGCCGGCGCGTTGCAGGCCGGCCGGGCTGAAAGCCGAGAGCTTTCTGAGGGAAAGGGCGAGCAGGATGCGGGGCATAAGGCTCCAATTGGTGGTTTGGATTGGTGGTTTGGGGATTGAACCCCTGGTTCTTGCAGAGAACCACCCTTAACCACCAAACCACCAGTTCAAATCACCAACTAAGGGCTACCTGATGAGACTAGGATTAGGAGGAATGCCCCAGGTCCGATCACAAAGATCCCTTTCACCTTTGGGTTTTCCAGGCTTGATTTTCGCAGCTCCCCTTTTGGGATTTGGACATGGATTACAGGTTTTGGGAGGCGCAGGCGGGACGCCAAACCTTCCAACCACCAACAAGCAGCACATCCAAACCGCAGCTTGCAGGTCACCCCGTGAAACCAGCAGGCCTCCCAGTTGGCCGTAACGACGGGTCCGCTCGTCTTTGGCTCGCCGCAACGGGCCCAGGTGGGCTGAAAAAACAACCCCGCGCCTTTTCGTTATGTAAGGGGCCGTCCCTTAACTTGTTTCGCAGGCCAAAACCATTGTAAACCGATACAGAGGAAAAAACACCGACACCCCCAGAAGCCATGAAGACACACATCAGGTCCTAGTTGTTATCGCAAACCAAGATTGCGGAATCATAAATTTGCAGGGCCCAAACCGATACCCAAACCGATACCGAACCGATACCCAACTCATTGGCCGCCCTGCCGAGTCCAACCAGCTGCCCTGCAGCCTTCTCTGGAGCTGCCAACATGTACTTTGTGTACTACATTTGTACTGAAAAGTTGCGACTTCCGCTGTGAAGCTGCCAAAATGTACTTCGTATACTACACCATACTACACCTGCTTGCACTGAAACGCTGCGACTTTCGAGCCGGAGCTGCCAAAGTGTACTGCGCATACTACTGAAAAGTTGCTACTTTCCAGCTGGAGCTGCCAAAATGTACTTTGTGCACTACACTTGTACTGAAAAGTTGCGACTTTCCAGCTGGAGCTGGGAGCTGGCAGAGTGTACTTCGCATACTACACTTGTACGGAAAAGTCGCGACTTTCGAGCCAGAGCTGCCAAAACACTGCAAACCGATGCAGAGGAAAAAAACCGATACTGACCGATACTGAGGCATAAGGATACAAGGGTTGTCCACGTTTTTTTTTCTCAACCCAGGTGTCGGGTGTGGTGCTGCACGCGCGGACCTCCGACCTCGGCCTGGATGGGCTGCCCCACGCCCACCGCCTGGATGCGCCTCGGGGTCGCGGCTTGTGGTTGGCTTGGGTTCCGGGCGTCGGATGTGGTGGGCTGCCGTTTTTTTTTTTTTTTTTGTTTTTTTTTTGTGGTGCTCGGTTGGGTGAGTGGATGGGTTTGTATGGCGGTGCCTTTGGGTTGGTGGTGGGCTGTGGATTGTGGATTCTAAGTGGTGGTCCTCGACTCGAATGATGTAGGGCCGTCAAAGCCTTGTGAGAGACGGTGGGGCGAGCCCGCGGCACCTTGTACAGATTGACGTGCGATGTGCTAATGTATGCATATATGCGACATGTTTGTTCTGGGTGAACCAAGCATGTGACGCTGGCGCAGTTGGATCTGATTGGGAGCACCCACCCAGCGCTGAGTTTGCTGATGCATTTTTCTTAGGACAACGGGCGCTTTGTTTGCGCCTACGACCTCAGTGGTCTGGTCAGGGAGACGCTGGGCGACCCCGCAGGGTTGCTTGGCGTGATTTCGGGCTGTCCGGGTTCAGGCACTAAGACAACTGGGGTGTTGAATTCCATGTTGCGGTTTCACATGTTTTCGTTTGCTTATTTTCCCATATTGAAGTCCTGGTTCAACCCTTCTGCAGCGGCCCAGCCTCAATTGTCCGGGCTAGATGATTAGGCAGCCAGAAGTGTTCCTGGTGCCTCACTAGATCTCTTGCAGTTGACGAAGCGTCTGGTATTCGCAAAATTGCCCAGCCCAGCGCCAATGTCAAGCAAGACACCAATTGGTGTTGCAAAACGTTGTTGCATGGTTTCCGGGCGTCCCTTGCTTTTATTAGTGAACTGAAGCTGCACTGGCGCGACCTGGGGGAACTGCTGAAAACCGCCCGACCTGAAACCAAGCTGTAGGACGGTTTCCAATGCTTTGCAACATGAACCAGGGTCCTGTTTCTTGACAGAACGGAAACGCACACAGCGTATGTCACGTTCTCATAGAGTCGGCGATCAGGCTAGAATTCCACGGGCTTTCGTAGCAATTCGTCCCTCGAGAGATTCTGTACTCAATTGGCCTTATTGTTTGCATGTGGGATTTGATGAGCATAATGAGCATACCCAAACAACATTTCAATGTTTCTCTATGGCTGGGCGTGCGCCACTAAGAGACAAGCTGGCGACAAGGGAGCGCTCTGTGCAAGCACGATGTTTGAATGATGCGTGTTGCAGTTGGGTCCGGCTTCATGCTTGTTGTAGCATACGGTACCCGCTGCAATTGCTCTAGGTTTAGCCCCAGCAAGTCCATACCCCCCGCCTTAAACGTGAAATCGAGAGAGGTGGCCCGCGGAATTTTCCGTTGGCCCAGGCTGCAGCATCTCATGCCGGCCAGCGCCCAACTCCTGCAGAAGGCGTCGGATGGCCACAGAGGGGGGGGAACCTTTGCCGAATGGCCTTTTGAGGCTGCCTTTGGGGTTGTTTGGGGTTGTTCCGAAGGCAACCGCCCGTTACCGATCCTTGCTCTGAACCCGGCCTGCGGCCAGGTTGAAGCTAGCATCGAGGAGTACAAGGCGTGGCCCTACTGACTACTGGTGCGCCTTTGTGGGTTGAAGGGACGCATGTTCTGGCATCCAAAAGAGGAAGTCCTTCAGAGACGGGCCTCGGATTCGAGTTTCCACTTGTGGGTTTTTTCTATTGGGGCCCATCGAGTCTGTTCAACATGTGTGAGTCACTACAAAGGGGCTTGGCGAGGTGTGGCTGGCTGCCCACGCGAAGGATTTCCCTGCGGCGGCCTTGGCCTACGAGGAGAGCTGGGAGAACGGCAGAAAGCGGAAAGATCTGGACCCTGGCTTACCTGTTGAGTTCGCAAAAGTTGCGCATTTTGTGGACCCTTGTTCTTTGTGGGGATGGAGGGCCGTCCAATTCTGGAAGGGATGCTTCCTTCCTTGGCCTGCGTTTGTGAAATGACCGAAGAAATTCCGCCGATTCCTCTGGGAGCTTTGCTCGAGCTTGGGCTCCGTGGTATGCACCTTGAACGAAGTGCTTGGTTTTCCAGGGTCAATTCTGGGATTGCTTCCGGGTTGAAAGGGCCCACTTCTCCGAAGCCCTTGCCTTGTTTTCTGATTCTGATTCGATCTTTCCTTTGCTGAGGGCCATGGAATTGCAGTTCCCCCCGCCTCTTCAAGCTCACCTGGCCCCAGCTTCAGGAGCCAAAGGCGTGCGGAGCTTTGAAGCGAGACCCCTTGATCGACCCCGCGCAGCGCCTGCCTCTCTGAGAGACCCCCAGACGTTTCTCCACGTTTCCTGGGGGAAACGGGGAATGACGCCCTTGGATGTCGGTTGTTTTGTTTTCACGCAGCTTTCCGCTATCCCTAGAAAGCCTGGAGAGAGAGAGAGAGGTATGCCCTGGTGATCTTTTGAATGATTGTTTGCACTGCGGGTTCCTTTCAAAGAGTTGGTAGCCACAACAAAGAACATCTTGAAAGTGACAAAAGCTGATTTGAGTTACAAATGCTGATTCAAGTTACAAATGCTGATTCAAGTTGCGCTTGCCAGTGCCTCAAACAAGCACAGGAGCAGCCTGGTTTTTAGACCTTTGTTTCACTTGTGAGAATCTTGGGGACGGTGACACCAAATGCCAACAAAGTACAAAGAAGGGACCTTTGCAGCCACTACCAGTAGACAAAACAGGAGCGCAACTCAAAGGCATCTACATCGGGGTGGCAGGTAGAAGATCTAGAACACCCACGGTTTCACACTTCGTCATAGGCCACTG